AACGGCAAATTTTTCCCCCGCGCGCTCCCAACTCCCAACCTATACCCGACCCCCCCCCTCCTACAAACTCAACCAGGTACGACCCCCGTTGTTACTAGTAACAACGTAGGATTGACCCTGAATTCAGTGCTTATCCTTGCTTGCGTACGTGACCTTTAACCCTTTCGGCCCTGGCGATGGCAAATGTCATCAAGTTTGAGATCTGCATTGCCGACGCGACAACATATTTCTACTACTATCAGCTAGAGGTCGCTTCAGGCAACCCTTCCCTTCCATATTTTGCTTCGCACCCGACATCGCGCTAGCTGGCCACAATGGGATGAATTTTTCGCTAAAAATAATTCAGGGCTGGAAGGGATCATTGACTGATTTTGTGTAGCTATGGAGGCTTGCTTGGTCTATATAGAGATAGGTCCTGGGGTTATTAAGCTGTCAGTGACACCTCTTATCAGTGCAGTATCTCCGCCTCATCGCGCTGCTGTAAGAACAGCTTTTCCACATATTTATTCCCGTTTGCTATTTGTCTTACTTTGATGGCTAAATCGCCTACGTAGCCGATTTTCTGGGCAGTACTGTTTGATGTCTAGGCTATTTTTTATGCCTGCAGATTGTTTCATTATTGTAAGTTATGAATAAGTGTGACCTTTTTGTTGCTCATTGTCCATTCAAAGGACAGCAAGTAATAAATGGAAGGACTGAAGAAAAAAGCCCGCCATTTTTGAATTGAATGTATCTGGATGATTGATATGGCTGCCACATGGGAAATACGTGCTGTGAATGACGCCATTCTGTTCATTTACAGCCAGTCAACCATTGCTCTTTTGTCCATGGCTCATTCTGCTCTGGGAGTACTTCAGAAGTGAAAGTCCTTCGTCGTTACGATGAATGTTAGGGGAGGCATTCGTTTTTAGGGCATGCCTATTTTAGGTGGTCCTTTCACTGATTGGTAATTTTCTGCCAAAAGCAATTCTTGACTTTGCTGACATTGGTGGCTCCCACTGCTTCCTTGTTCATCATTGTTACCAAATTGCTATTACC